ACCCCTAATCATTTTTGTTGCCCTTCGCTGGACTCTCTCCAATTTATCCACATCCTTCTTGTAGTGTGGGGCCCAAAACTGGACACAGTACTCCAGATGAGGCCTCACTAATGTCGAATAGAGGGGGACGATCACGTCCCTCGATCTGCTCGCTATGCCCCTACTTATACATCCCAAAATGCCATTGGCCTTCTTGGCAACAAGGGCACACTGCTGACTCATATCCAGCTTCTCGTCCACTGTCACCCCAGGTCCTTTTCCGCAGAACTGCTGCCTAGCCATTCGGTCCCTAGTCTGTAGCTGTGCATTGGGTTCTTCCGTCCTAAGTGCAGGACCCTGCACTTATCGTTATTGAACCTCATCAGATTTCTTTTGGCCCAATCCTCCAATTTGTCTAGGTCCCTCTGTATCCTATCCCTGCCCTCCAGCGTATCTACCACTCCTCCCAGTTTAGTATCAACCGCAATCATCACAGTGTTGGACCAAGAGAGGTAAAAGGGGAGGAGGGAAGAGTGACTGCATTCAAACAACAAATACACAATTTCAAGAGATAAGCTTTGGGTGAGGGGGGTTCAGGGAAAAAGGAAGAGGCGTTTACTTCTGAAACTAAAATGAAAAACAGAAATTGGAAGTTCAGAACAATCTGCTTTGCCAAAGCTATTCTGAGCGTCCTGTCAGCACCCTGAGCACAGGTTTCTCCTTCAGATTGAATTTAATTATGAAGAATTAGATTTCTTTCACAGATTTTTCTGGTGTTTTTAACATGAATTTTCTACACGATTAAATTCTTCAGAGGGAACCTTAGACTTTTAGCTGCTTTCAGGAAACTAAGATGAATTGTGGTCATTTGATTATACATTTTCCCACCTAGAGTGAGTCTAGGGGCCATAGAAATGCACGAGAACTCAATTATTCTTTGTTTCATCAGCAGTTTGAGGTTTTCATGGGATCGCACTCCAAAGCCACTCATACACTGACAGGAGTTACAATTAGCAGCCCTGTTGGAGAGAAAAAAATATCTCCATAACATCAAAAGCTTGTTTTCTTGAATGATAATTAGAGTGTCTCCATGGGTGGACTCTTTCATAAATTATCGCAGTATGAATTATTTTTCTGTACATAAACAAGATGAGATACTGTGACCATAAGGACCTCTGCCATTTCTAATTAGTTAAGACATCAGTATAAATACTAAATTAGCTAATTATGCCTGGCAAAGTAAATGAATCCAACAAACTTGTCATTTTTTGGTGGTAGAAATTGATTTTTTTAAAAAAACACTTTGGTAGCATTTGCCAAGCAATTCCACTGTGATTAAGAATCTACCAGCAGTTGGATTGAAAATTAGGTCACGTTCTGCTCTCACTTGCACTGATACAAGTCCATTTAGGCCAATGGACCTGATGCAGAAGTTGGCTCCTCATTGTTTTAGGGGTATTGACTAGAGCTGGATGAATTTGTTTTTTAGCAAATAGTAAATGCACTGCAAAATATTTTTCAGGACACCGAAACCTATTCACTAGTTCTTGTCAAATCTGGCAAATAGTTTTGCCAAAAAATTGGAATTTTAAGTCAAAACAGTTCATTTTGAAATGACAGTGTTGCGGTTAAGTATTGATAAAATGGACTTAAATATAAGTGCCAATTACAGAAGTATTATAGAAGTACTTACAAGTATGCTGTAGAAATAGTACTATGTATTTATAAGCGTAAGTGCAAATACTTTTAACTCCCCTATTCCCTGCAATTGTCTAGTCAATATATGGACAACTACCTAAATAATATAAGCACATTGTGGAAGAGAAGCACAACAATGAAATTTTATTCATAGACACAAGCATGGAATAACCCTGAAAATATCTCTGGGAAGTAAATTTATAAATTTATTTTATTTATATAGATGTATAAAATAATATGTACAGACAGCATCAATTCCATGAAGTGGGCATTTCTCTTCAATAATCTCGAACTTACCATCCTGAAGATGGTTCCATCTTGGCAGTCCCCACTGCTGCTGGGCTGGGGAGCAAGTCTCCCAACCGCACGTCTGAATGACCAATCAGATGCGAAGGGGACAAAGCCCCCACCAGGGTCAACAAAAAGACGGCTGGAGCTCAGGGTCTGAAGTGCCCAAGCTAGGATAGTGGGTTCTGGGGGCCCCCAGAATCTGGGACAGGTGTGAGGGATGTGATTGTTTCAAAAATCTATTTTGAAAAAGTACTTGCAAACTAAAAAGAAGCTATATAAAATAACTTTTAAATGTACTTAATACAAGTACTAAGTAAAACAAAATAAGTAGAGTGCTTCAAAGTATTTAACTACATGGGAACGCTGGAAATGAAACACCCAAAAACAAAGAAAACCCAGAAAAAATTGTTTTGAGTCAAACAAAACATTTGCTTCAGTTTGAACTAAGGCTTGGTGTTTGCTAGGTTAAAAAGGACAGTTTTTGTTTGATTGAACCATTTTTTATTTTTCAGGGGTTTTTTTTTTGTTTGGGGGCCAAATTAATAAGTCAATTATTTGCTCAGTTCTAGTGTTGATTGCTTTCTGTTCAAAATGGGTCATTAATCTAGCTAAAGTTTTCTCCCTCCCCAACAGAAAGTCAATAAATTCAGCTTTAAAACCGACCACAAACTTTACAAACTCTTACAGAAAAGAGGGTTTTCATTTTTTGTCAACACCTTATATATGGGGTTTATGTTAGATATGCCTAGACACACACTAACAAGCATCTGAGGGATAGCCGTGTTAGTCTGTATCAGCAACGATAGTCTCTAAGGTGCCCCAAGGACTCCTCGTTGTTTTTACTAACGAGAATGTTGCCTATGAGCACTTCCAAACATAGCTAGTGTTTGCTCTCCTTATAACCTAGTTTGAACTGATGGCAAATTATGTAATCCGCTTGATCACCTCTAATATCTTGGTGTTTCATTTAAAACTCCCGTGTACATCTGTGAGTATGTACATATTCCTGCTTTACTTCCATATTCAGGAGAAAATAATGGAAAGTAGATGGCTTAGTAATGTATTATCAGTGCCCCATTCTAGCAATATGGTTCATCCAGGCTGATTAGGTTTGAATCAAACAATATTGAAGGGACACTAGCAACTTTTAAATCACACATCTGCCTGACATTTCTCTTACTAGCTGTTGTTACAAGCAGCAATTATAAAGACTACATTTTTTCCCTCTTTCAGTTTGCCTGCTTAGTGCATCTGACAGTATTTTGTGTGTAGTCAGTTTCATTAACGATGTGGGGGGAATGGTCTCCAATATAACAGGAGCGAGAGAAACATCTTATAGGAAAATATGATTGTAAAACAAAATTCAGAATGGGGCCTTGGGCATATGAACTAGTTTTTAACTTCTTTTTTCCAAAGTGATTAGAGTAAATATAATTACTACAGAGCCAAGCCTGCAGTCATTACCTGGGTAGAACTTCCATTAATTTGATTTCCACCACCCTTCCTCCCTCTCCCGCACCGTTCTCCCCAAAATCTTCAGAATGAAGCCTTATTTAAAAAAAACAAACAGATGTGTATTAATCATTGCTAAATGTTACAACTAGCTTTAATAAATGTGAATTGATCTAGAACTGAAAACTCATCTGATCAGTGAATGAGACACTGATAACACTCCCCAAAAGATCTGCTGTCCAGGTTTGTAGCACATTGTAAAGTATTCTTTATCTTGCACCACAATGACTCCTCAACCTACCTTTTCTGTTGATTATCCACGATAATGTTGTGAAAGTTCCAGGTTACAAACTTTTTTTTAAAAATGTATCTTAATATGCGAGATACCCTTCCCCCCCATTTTAAATAACTTTTTACTACTTTGCAAAAGTGTGTATTCAGTTGCATTTTAGAGTTAAATTCCCCTTGATTTCTTATTTTAATATACATTATACTGAGTATATTTCAATATCCTAAGTAAAACCTTCTTATTGATTCTCCCAAATACCACTTCATGTGACCAGTTTAAACTATTCAAATGAGTTTGAAGACCTGCTTCAAATCTCTTAACCTTCAGGTTAAGAAATGGTTTAGACCTTGTATATTCTTGCAATAGCCAGCTGGGACACTACTGTACTTTGATAAGCAATAAAAAAGTTGCAACATGACTAAATCATGAAAGTGACACCAGTTTTGTAATAACGTATGGACACATGGTGCATCCTTCCTCTGGAAAAACAGGCACACAAAGCTAGTTCACACATGTCACTAGCACTAGCTGCTGCTGAATGGTATTGTTGCTGTCACTGTAATTAAAATTCTAATTCCCAATTAAAATGTATTGGTCTTCTAATTATGCAGACAATAAAGGGCTGACCCTGCAGGACAGCAGGAAGCAGTTTGTTGAGCAGAGCATGTGCACATACACACTGCAGAGATTGTGCAAGCACTGTGCTGTGCGAAGTGGAGGATGGGTGGGGATGCCAGGGTAAACCTCCTGTTGCCCATCCTGTCTGCCAAATTTGACCACACATCAGACATTTTGGGGTTTATTTTTAAAGTAGCAATTACTTCTCCTTAGCTGGAGGGCTAACTGGAGATTTGCTGCTGAGCCAGCTGCTGGTAAGCAGGACAGACAGCCATCTGCTGTAGATGTCCTGCAGTCAGAGTATCCCCCACTTTTAGCTGATCCAAGTTTTATCCCTAAACGTCATTAAATGTGTGGGATGATACTAAGCACATCATGTTAGTTCCATTTTTAAAAAAACATACAGCTGCCCCGCAGCTTCTATTTTTATAGGTAGAAGTGTGGGCCTTTAGGGAGGGATCTGAAGGAGGACAGGGTAGTACCCTGGGGTTTCAGCCTCAGGAGGACTTCACAAAGATAGGGAGTGGCCCAGGAAAAAAGAAAACCCATGATAGGAGAAGTAGACCTGTGGCAACAAGGCGGGCACCACTGGCTCAGTGAACCTTGTATTTATTTTATTCTAGCATAGTGTCATGAATGGATCTGAAAGAGTCGTTATTAATAAGACTTGAAAGCCCTGATTTATACAGTATATTTATTTCTCATGGTAGACTGTATGAGTGATGTATAATTCTTGAAGCTTCTTATACTTCACTCAATCATGAATTTGGAACATAAAATTTAAATTGGATTTTAAAAGATTTTACAGTGTAGTAATACTCTTTAGTGAGAAAACAGTAGACAATTTATGGTAAAAAAATCTCTCTTATAAAAAGCAAACTTGGAATTATTTATACAATATGAATTAATGTTGAAATTTGAGTTATGAGTTTGTATAGGTAAAATGGTTCTGCATAAACACATTCATGCCTTATAATTCCACATGTGTGTGTATATAATCATTTATGAAATCATAAATTCTAAAATTTTTAGAACCACTCCTATTCATACCCATTCTATTAATTTCTCGTGTTTATGGAAAACCGCTCTTTTCAAATCTATCTTGGCTCTCCCAAATATCACCCTCACAATTAAATGGCCCACCTTATTTCTTTTCTGCCCACTCTACTATATAGGGCAAGACCAACAGAACCATCCAGTGCCTATCATACTCTCCGTTCTTTCCGCGAGCCATAACCTGAACGGACATACTTAAACGATATAAGTAACAGTGGAATACCCTTCCTTCTGCAACAAACTGTAAGGGGAGCACCACTCTACAGCATTAACTAGCAGTAAGGATAAAGAAACCTCAACACATTTGGGGCCAGATTTTTAAGTGCCTAAAGCTACAGATAGGCACTTTTGAAAATTCTACTAGGTGCCTAACTACTATTGAAATCAGTGGAAGTTAGGCACCTAGATACTTTTGAAAATCAAGCCTAAATAACTTTATAAATCTGTTCCTTAGCCTTGGTGAAGGACTTTAGCTGCCAAATCTGAGGTGGCTTCTTGAAAAACCAGACTATTAAAACAATATCTAACTAAGTAAGGCCGCTTGGAGGCTCTATACCAGAGGTGGGAAAACTACGGCCGACCCTCCTGCCTGGCCCCTGAGCTCTTGGCCTGGGAGGCTAGCCCCCGGCCCCTCCCCTGCAGCCTCAGCTTACTGCGTCACTGGTGCAATGCTCTGGACAGCGGGGCTGCGAGCTCTTGCCAGCTCACGGCTCAGCAGCTGTGCTGCCTGACCCGGTGCTCTGTGCTGCGGCTGGCCACAGCTGGGCGGTGCAGCTGCAGCACCATCAGCCACCGGTGCTCCAGGCAGCGCGGTAAGGGGGCAGGGAGTAGGGGGGGTTGGATAGAGGGCAGGGGGCGAGAAACAGGGGGGGTCAGATATGGGGCAGGAGCTGGGCCACGCCTGGTTGTTTGGGGAGGCACAGCCTTCCCTAACCGGCCCTCCATATAATTTCAGAAACTCGTTGTGGCCCTCAGGCCAAAAAGTTTGCCCGCCCCTGTGCTACATTGACCAAAAATCTCTTTCAGGATGTTTGGGAACTTTATATTGTACTTAGCGAATCTTTTAAACTATGTCCTAGACTAAAACAATATATATATTATAGTCTTTTTTCTTTAAAAAGAATATACAGCATAGGCAGTTTTTGAGCTTCTGCAATTTAGTTTGGTAGAACTGGACATTCATAAATCTCCCTTTGTCTAGGAGTCAGCTGTTTTCTAAAGAGGATATGCTCTTACAGGGAACTCTCAATAGCAAATTTAATTGCAGTTAAATGCCAAGAGGCAACAGTAAAATGACTCTTCTATATTTAGTTTCTCTTTATGGTTTTCCTATTATATTTTCTTAGTTTACAGGCTTTTCTAACCTCCACTCCTGCAGACTCAAATTATGAGTCTTGTCTCTCTTATAGCACCCACAATGGTGATTTGCTAGGCAGAGAAGAATCCAGCTTGCTCTGATTGCTGTAGTAGTTCTGAAGATAAAGGCTTGGGATGGGAGATGACATCAACTGGAAGGAAGCAGAAATAGGGTGAGATCCAAAACTCATTGAAGTCAATGGAAGTCTTCCCTCTGACTTCAAAGGGCTTTGGATTAGCCCATACTGAATACGAACATGCCATTTACTTTGTCACTTTCTGGAGGATTACCAAGCATTTAATAGAGAACATTAAGTATAATGGTTTTGAGATGTATCTTGTGGGCCATCAAACTAGAACAGAAGGGTGAACTAGAGTTGAGTTTGTCATCCAGAAGCCACTGCTCCTACTCATGGATATGCTATAAAAGTCTGATCCAGGAATAGAGCAGCTAACCCTCAGAACAGCTCTTTCCCATTACAAAATCAATAGTGATAGCATTACCTCTATTATTTTTCATATTATAATTGGTTTCATTTCCCCTCAAAGGTATAAATATCTCTGCATACTTTTCTGCTTTGTTATTTAGGATGGTAATGAGTTGAGACAACTATTTTGGTGCATAATACACAATTGGGAATCATCTTCAGCCCACAGTAGGCTTTTTTGTTTTTGCTTAGCTAGTGTTTCTATCTGGGAAATAAAAAATGTGAATTAAAAATAAACTGGAGACTTGTCATAGTTAGAAAATGGCTAATTTTGCTTAATCAAATCCATCAGCTCTTTTTCTATTCCTAGGCTACTCAGATCATTTAAACTGCAGTATCTATGAACAATCTTCTCAGCTGTGACAATGACCACTCTAAGCCCATGGGTATCTTCTCCCAGTTGACATCCGATTGCTGATGAAACCACCATCTCTAGATCCTTGTAGGACCCTCCGGCATTTCTATGGTAGTGTCCAGAAAATACAGCTTTAATGCCTGTTTAAAAATAATATATATTTATATTTAGTTAACACAGACTACGGACAAAATGAGCTTAAAAACAGTATGATCTTCTTTTTTAGGCTCATGCAGCCATCATAATATATAATTCAACAGACATCTATATGACTAAGAACAGCTACAACTTGTCATGTTTATCCTTATTTTCTTAATGGGCATTTTTAATCTAATGATTAAGAAATTGTGAAATTAATAGGGAATCGTTTACATGATATTACATTTAGGAAGAAAATAAATATTAGCAACATATTGATAGTCAGACCAACTAACCTCCCACTCCCTTTAAAAATATTGGAGCCCTGTATCTTTAAACTCAGATTCAAGCCAGCTATTTTCCCATTACTTCTTTGATCAGAAACAGTAAAAATGTGAGAGGATGTTCTTGTTGAAAGTCCTTTTGTAATTCTAAATCAAGTAATTAACCAGAGGATCATGCATGTAGATAGGAGCAGAAAGTCAACTGTTGGATCCACACATTACATCTGGAGAACTAAAGATAACAAGACCCTCAAATCTGTTTATTCAAAGGGATAGTGATTATAAGAGTGAATGACATTAAAAGATAGGACAAAGTGGGGGAGGGAATATCTTTTATTGGGCCAACCTCTGCTGGTAAGAGACAAAAGTTTTTGAGCCTACACAGAGTTCTTCAGATCTGGAAAATGCCTCAGCTAAATACAAGATGGAACAGATTTGTATAGTATACTAACTAGTTAATACACATTTCAAGTGAAAGTGGCCCACTAACATCTCTCCAGTAATGTGGTTGGAGGGATATTTAAGTGGGTTCTAAATTGTTGTGATAAGCCATAAATCCAGTGTCGCTATTCAGTCCATAATTTTTAATGTCGAGCAAAGTTATGACTTTAAGCTCTTGTCTTTTTGAAAATGTTGTGCACATTTCCTTTGAGGATGAGGACTGAGGTCACATAAGAGTGATCAGTTTGTGACAAGTATTCACCTACAAGTGATATGGTGTCTTCTGTGTGAATTCATTCAAGAGTGTAGTGATAGCTGGGTTTCATCCACCTTGTTGTTGTGGCCCTTAATGCATTCAATGAGGTACACCACATGTTGTGATAGGCATGTGTGGAGCCCATGGATATTGGGAAGTGTGTTATGTGGGGTGTTGCAAATCACAGCATTGGAGAGATGTCCACAGGTTTTTGCATCTGTTCTGGGAGAGTCTGGTGCTGCTTTGAGTCCTTGCTGATGATGAGGTTGGGAGGTGGTTTAAAAGCCAGAAAGCGGAGGGGGAATTCAGGAAAGATTTCTTTTAGGCTGTGGTCCCCATTGAGTATCGGTTATAATGGTTTGATACCCCATATAGTTGGTAGGTGACAACTAAGGGTGTGCAGTCAAAAAAGGTTTCATTTCTGTACTGAAGCAGGTTCTCCTGGCAGCATTTGGGTGGCCTGCTCCATGATGCAATCTACTCCTCTGGTGGAGTGTCCTTGTTTGGCATAGGCAGTTTTAAGTGTGTTAAGATGTATACCTCAGATGTTCTCCTCAGAGCACATTCTGTGGTATCTGAGTGCCTGGCTGTAGATAAGATTTCTTGGTGTTTGGGATGGTTACTGGATCTGTGAAAGTACTTGCGGTGACCTGTATGTTTGTTGTCTGTCAGGTTCTATTGTTGAAGCTAATCATGGTGTTCAGGAAGTTGATGCTAGTGTGAGAGTGTTCTAGTGAGAGTTTAATGGAGGAGGGGTAATTGATGTTGTGGTGGAAATCTTTGAGGGTCTGTAGGTTATCTACCAGAGAATAAAAATATCATCAATGTAACTCAGGTATATGATTGACTTCATGGTGCATTCGTCCAGAAATTCTTCAAGGTGGTCCATGAAGAGGATGGCATACTGGGGAGCCATCCTAGTAGCCCCGGCTGTTCCTATGGTGTGTATGTTTAATGTAAAATTGTTACGAGTGAGGATGAAATGGATGAGTTTTAGGGTGGATATCTGAGCATTGTCCATTGTCTTGTAAATGTTTGAGGCAGGCAGCAATGCCATCGTTGTGATGTATGTTGGTGTATAGGCAGCTGATATCCATGGTGGCAAGGATGGAGTTCTGAGGGAAGATGATAATTTTGTGGCATTTCTGGAGGAAGTCAGTCATGTGCTGGCCCTTTGTGTGGTGAATGGTTTGAGGATGGTTTTTCTGAGTCCCAATATTCCTTCAGTAATACTGCTGTGGTCAGATACGATGGGTCTGCCTAGGTTCCCTTATTTGTGTACTACAGGATGAGAAGATAGACTATAATCTCCTGTCCAGAGGTATTGGAAGGTGCAGACCTTTATGAAGGATGTCTGGAATATAAATAAGCCAGGCACATGAAAGAAACCTGAAATGTGTAAGAGGCTTCTAAGTTAGATGAGAGGGGAAGGAAGATGAAAACTACCTGGAGAGGCTGACAGGCCTCAAAGAGAAAGAGGTACTATAATAACATGAACTAACTCTTAAGGAGTATGTTATGCAATCATTTTTTCTCTGTATACTTAATTAATCTTGTTTTTAATTACACCATTTGTATTTTAAACCATATTGAGGTAACATCACTAGGGCCTTGAAAAGAAGAAATACTTTTCTTTCGATCTATTGCTAGAGACAACTGGGGAGAAAATTGTGCCTTATCCTCAAGAATGCTGCTCAGGTAATCCCCTAATGTGACCCAAATACGAGCTCTAGGCAGCAGGGATTTGGGGAAAGCTCACTGACATAAATGATGGCAGGAAAAGGAAGCAAACAAATATGGTATACTTCATAAACCTTGAGATTCTGGGATAAAAAATGCTTTAACATTAGTAGAGCTGATCAGAAAAATTGTGACAAGCGATTAAAAAAATTAATCGCAATTAATCGCACTGTTAAATAATAGAATACCATTTATTTAAATATTTTTGATGTCTTCTACATTTTTAAATATATTGATTTCAATTACAACACAGTGTATAGTGCTCACTTTACTTTTGATTACAAATATCTGCACTGTAAAAAAAGAAATAGTATATTTCAATTCACCTAATATAAGTACTGTAGTGCCATCTCTTTATCATGACAGTTGAACTTACAAATGTAGACTTATGTACAAAAAATAACTACATTCAAAAATAAAACAATGTAAAACTTTAGAGCCTACAAGTCCACTCAGTCCTACTTCAGCCAATTGCTCAGACAAACAATTCTGGTTACATTTGTAGGAGATAATGCTGCCCTCTTCTTGTTTACAACGTCACCTGAAAGTGAGATGTGCTGAAGATTCATATGGTCTCCCTTCATGCTTCAACCACCATTCCAGAGGACATGCGTTCCTGCTGATGACAGGTTCTGCTCGATAATGATCCAAAGCAGAGCGGACTGACGCATGTTCATTTTCGTCATTGGGGTCAGATGCCACCAGCAGAAGGTTGATTTTCTTTTTTGGTGGTTCGGGTTCTGTAGTTTCTGCAGCAAAATGTTGCTCTTTTAAGACTTCTGAAAGCATACTCCACACCTTGTCCCACTCAGATTTTGGAAGGCACTTCAGATTCTTAATCCTTGGGTTGAGTGCTGTAGCTATTTTTAGAACTCTCACATTGGTACCTTCTTCGTGTTTTGTCAAAGCTGCCGTGCCAGTATTTGTAAATCCAACAATATGTGCTGGGTCATCATCCAAGACTGCTATAACATGAAATATATGGCAGAATGCAGGTAAAACAGAACAGGAGACATGCAATTCTACCCCAAGGAGTTCAGTCACAAATTTAATTAACGCACCATTTTTTTAAAATGATCAGCAGCAGCATGGAAGCATGTCCGCCGAAATGGTGGCTGACGCGTGAAGGGGCATACAAATGTTTAGCATATCTGGCACGTAAACACCTTGCAATGCCAACTACAAAAGTGCCATGCGAATGCCTGTTCCTCACTTTCAGGTGACATAAATAAGAAGCAGGCAGCAGTATCTCCCGTAAACTTGTTTGTCTTAGCGATTACCTGAACAAGAAGTAGGACTGAATGGATATGTAGGCTCTGACCTTTTAGAATGTTTTGTTTTTGAGTGCAGTTGTGTAACCAAAAAATAAATAAATAAATAAATCTACATTTGTAAGTTACACTTTCACAATAGAGACTGCACTACAGTACTTGTATGAGGTGAATTGAAAAATACTATTTCTTTATATGTTTTATTATTTTTGCAGTGCAAATATTTGTAAAGTGCGCACTGTACACTTTGTATTCTGTGTTATAATAAAAATCAATATATTTGAAAATGTAGAAAAATATCCAAAAATATTTAATAAATTTCAATTGGTATTCTATTGTTTAACAGTGCAATTAAATGCGATAAATTTTTTTAATCAATTAATTTTTTTGAGTTAAACTGCATGAGTTAACTGCAATTTATCGACAGCCCTTGTTTTCAAACTTTGCTGCTTCATCAGAATCAAAACTGCTTCATGTAGATAGTCCAATTTTGATGAAGTTCTGATGACAGCTCATCCACCTGGTTCTAGAGCCAAGGACTCCAGTGCTGTTGGACAGTCCACCATGCATGCTGCCTGAAGCAGGAGCTCCATGCCATTTCTGGTACTTTTAAAAAATACTGCAAGAATAAGCCCTGGTCTACACTAGGACTTTAGGTCGAATTTAGCAGCGTTAAATCGATTTAAACCTGCACCCGTCCACACAATGAAGCCCTTTATTTCGACTTAAAGGGCTCTTAAAATCGATTTCCTTACTCCACCCCTGACAAGTGGATTAGCGCTTAAATCGACGTTGCCGGCTCGAATTTGGGGTACTGTGGACACAATTCGATGGTATTGGCCTCCGGGAGCTATCCCAGAGTGCTCCATTCTGACCGCTCTGGACAGCACTCTCAACTCAGATGCACTGGCCAGGTAGACAGGAAAAGAACCGCGAACTTCTGAATCTCATTTCCTGTTTGGCCAGCGTGGCAAGCTGCAGGTGACCATGCAGAGCTCATCAGCACAGGT